TTATGCAACACAGGCCCACCTGCTCAGGGATGGGACCACCCACATCACTCAACAATCAAGAGGATGCCCCATAGACATGGCCACAGGCCAGTCCAATGGAGGCAATTCCCAGTGAGGCTCCCTCAACCCAGGTGTGTCAAGTTGACACTAAAGCTATCCAGCACAACCTCTTTAGTCACTAGGATAACACAGATCAAAGCTGTTATACATTGAAAGTCAGGTGTGATGTTCTGAGTGCATTTGGAACATAGAGGCAGGAGGATCAAGGTCATCCTTAGTTATATAGGAAGTTTGAGACTAGCCTGAGCTATGTGAATCAATCTCTCTCTCTCTCTCTCTCTCTCTCTCTTTTTCTCTCTCTCTCTCTCTCTCTCTGAACACACACACACACACACACACACACACACACACACACACAAAACAAAATGAAACCCTACTACATTGAAATTTCATTTCACCTCAGTCAAGAAGACAACAAATGGGGCTGGAGCGATGGCTCCAGAGATGGTTAAGAGCACTGACTGCTCTTTTAGAAGACCTGGTTTGAATCCCAATACTCACACAGTGGCTAACAACTGTCTGTACTCCATTTCTAGGGGATTTATTGTCTTCTTCTGTCCTCCTCGGGCATTACATGACATGGGTGAATTCATTCAGGCAATACTCTCATACACATAAAATAAAAATAAATAAGAAGGGGGCTGGAGAGATGGCTCAGCGGTTGAGAGCACTGACTGCTCTTGTAGAGAACCCGGGTTTGATTCCCAGCACCCACACGGCGGCTACCCTCTTCTGACCTCCATGGGCATTTCAGGACACAGGTTGCACTCACATATATGCAGGCAATACACTCATACACATAAAATAAAAATAATAAATTATTTTTAAAAATAAATAAGGAGAAAGAAAGAAAACAGCAAATGCTGGTGAAGAAGAAGAGGAAGGAATTTTACACACTGCTGGTAGGAAAGCAAACTAGCTCAGCCACTATAGAAATCAGTATAAGGTTTTTGTCAAAAATAATTATAGAACTATTATGTAATTCAGCTATATCACTCTTGGGTGTACACCTGAAGGATATAAAGGCAGCATACACTAGAGATACCAGCATACTTGTGTTTATTGTGGCATTGTTCACAATAACAATGCAGTCATGTCTATGTTATAGAGTCAGTCTAGTTATAGAGTCAGTCTAGGTGACTGTTAAGTAAGAATGGATAGAGGAGATGGAGTATATTGCCAGGTGTAGTGGTGCATGTCTTTAATCCCAGCACTCAGGAGGCAGAGGCAGGTGGATCTCTGTGAGTCCAAGGCCAGCCTGGTCTACATAGTGAGTTCCAGGCCAGCTGGAGCTACAGGGAGATCCTGTCTCAAAAAACAAGCAAACAAATAAACACCCCCCACCCCAGAAAATAGAGATATATTCCCAATAAAGAAAATGGAATCTACAGTCACAATATAGAAAATAATGTATATTCAAAATAAAGCATATTCAGTCAGAATGAACAAAATAACATTATTTGCAGGAAAATGAATGGAATGGGAGATTATTGTTAAGTGAAATAAATTAGACTCAGAAAGACAAATGTCACATGTATTCTATTATATGTAGAAACTAGATTTAAAAAAAGACATGAAAGAAGGCATAGTAACTGGGAAGAGCAGGGGATCCAGTAGGAGGGCGTAGAGAGACAGCAGACAAGAGAGCATAATAGAGGGTGTGAACATGACTAAGGTACAGTATTTGTTCTATGAAAATGTCATGAAAGCCTGTGGTGCATGCCTGTAATCCCATTATTTGGGATGCTGGGTTAAGTCTAGTCTCCATAGTGAGACCCTGCCAAAACCCCCCAAAAACAGGGCTGGAGAGATGGCTAATGGTTAAGAGCACTGGCAGCTCTTGCAGAGGACTTGGGTTCGACTCCCAACACCCACATGGTAGCTAACAACCGTTCTTAACTCTAGTTCCAGTGGATCCGAAGCCCTCTTCTGACCTCTGCGAGCATTGCACAACATGGGTGCACTTACATACATATAGGCAATACACTCATACACATAAAAATAACAAATAAAATATTTAAAAAACCAAAACAAGAGCTAAGTGTGGTGGTGGTACATGCCTATAATACCAGTCCTCAAGAGGCAGAGACAGGAGGATTGTAAGACCTTAAAGAAAACAAAGCAAAAACAACGAAAACAAAACAAAAACCCAAACACACACACACACACACACACACACACACACACACACACACACACACCCCAACATCATCCATAACAAAAACACCTACAAATAAAAACCACAAGTTACCACGTGTGATGGCTAATCTTATTTGTCAATTTGATACTTCTGGGATTGAGGGATTTTCTCTATCAGATTGGCCTGTGAGCATGTTGGCCTTTTCTTGATTATTGACTGATGCAGGAGGGCCTACTATGGGCAGTACTAACCTGGGTAGGTGGTCCTAGGTTGTATAAAAAAAAAAGCAAGTTGAGCAAGCCAGAGGAAGAAAGCCAGTAAGCAGCATTGCTCTGTTAGTTTTTGCTTTGAGCTCTTTCCTTGAGTTCCTGCTTGACTTCCCTTGATGATGGACTGTAACCTGTAAGCTGAAATAAACCCTTTTTCCCCCAAGTTGGTTTTTGGTCATGGTGTTTACTACAGTAACAGAGAAGCAAACTAATAAATCATGAAACCTATTATACTGTAAAATTAATATATGGTAATAAAAAAGGAGGAAAAGACCAGAGAAATGGCTCAGCTGGTAGAAATGCTTGCCACAGAACACAATGTGGAAGGAGAGAACTGACTCCTGAAAGCTGTCATCAGAACTCCTCATGTGTGCTGTACCACATAGGTACCTCCCCATCTCTCTCCCCACCCCTCACACACACACAAATGAAACTGTAAAATAAAGAGGGGGGGGTAAGTATAAAGCTCAGTTGGTCAAATGCCTACCTAGCATGCATGAGGCCCTGGGTTCAGTCCCTAGCACTACATAAACTGGGCATTGTGGCACATGCCTATACTCTCAGCTCTTGAGTACATAGGCAGGACAACCAGGCGTTTGAGGCCATCCTTAACTACATGGTGATTTCATCAGCTTGGGCTATGTGAGACTAAAATTAAAAAAGGGGAAAAAAATAGAGTGATATCAGGCTTGGCTCTTTAAAAAGAAGCCCTCCCTGTCAGAACATGACAAAGTGTCAAGTCACACAGCGTCAAAGGGAAGTCTGTCCAGCAGAATTGGCAGCCTGTGCAAAAGTCCTGAATTGAGAATGGACTTTGCTGGAGGATGGGAAGAAGGCTAGTTTGGTTCAAGACTAAGGGGAAAGAAGAAAGATAGTACTTGTATATGTTGAGCTTGGACCATGCAGATTCTAGTATATGTAAGAAAAAAGAAATTTCTCCTCCTCTATTTAGAAACCATTGGAGGGCTCTCTGCAGGGAGTGACAAGAACTGATTTGTAGCTGAGTGGTGGCTCATACCTACAGTCTCAGCACTTGAATTAGTGAAGCTGAGGTAGGAGCATTGCCACAAGTCTGAGGTTAGCCTGAGCTGCAAAGTGAGACCTGTCTCAGAAAACATAAAAAAACAACAAACAAAAAGAACTGATTTGTTTTAGAAACACCTACTCAAGTGCTGTGTGGAGTGGTGACTACAGAGGGAGGTGAGGACAATGAAGGGTCTTTGTAAAAGGTTATTGTAAGTGGTCAGGCCAGAGAGACTGGCGACCTAGACCTGATTGGCATTAGAAGTAGGAAACTGAAAAATTAACCCTCTTAGGGGAATGTGAATGCATGTGTATATATGTGTGTGAACAGATGCACACACATATGCTATTTCTTGCTGTTTGAACTGGTGCTCAAGACTGAACCCAGGGACTCTCTCATGATAGATAAACACTCTACAACTGAGCTACCCCCTCTAGCCAATCTAATGTATTTTGGAGACAGAATGCTGGGGATAGAAAACTGTGAGAACATAAATAATTACTGGATTTGAATCTAACAATTACTTAAGTACACAGAATTATTAGGATGTTGACTAGTGTTTGTATTGTGAAACTCGGAGGAGCAATACATATTCAGCAATAAGATTATTAAATTATGACACATGCATTTCACTGGTACCACAACTTAAAGAGGCCCACACAATGTGAGTGGAAAAAGCCAATGGCAAACCCTAGTCTCATAAAAACAAACTGTATTTATGTTTGTGAATAAACTAATACGAAAAAAACACAGATTTCTGTGAGAGGGCCTTTGGTACAAAGTGGGATTTCTTTCTACTTTATGGCATGTGTATCATTTGAACCTGTTTTATTTTTTTCTTTTATGTGTATGAGTGTATTGCCTGCATGTTTAAGTGCACTTGTGCAATGCCTGAGGTCAGAAGAGAGTCTAGGATCCCTTGGAATTGGAGGTAAGACTGTTGTTACAAGCCCCTACGTGAGTGCTGGGAATCGAACCCAAGTCCTCTGCAAGAGCAGCCAGTGCTTTTAATCACTAAACCATCTTCCCAGTCCCTGAACTTGTTTTTCAAAGACAAATGTATTGTTTCCATTTTTTGGAACTTTAGCTTAAAACGTCCTTGATTTCGAACCAGGGGATAGGTTCTTTAGACACGATGGTCCCTGTTATTTGCTATGTAGACCAGGCTGGCTTTGGACTCTCAGAGATGCTCCTGCCTCTGCCTCTCCAGCGCTAAGACTAAGGGCAAGCATCAGCATCACCACGCCCAGCTAGATAGGACCGCTGAACATGGGAGCAACGGTGTCCTCCAGCGGGTTTAATTGAAACCTTCGGGAGGGACTTCTCGGGCCTTATCCGTGGACCTCGTGTCTGGGCGGTGCAGAACCACCTCCACTCTGCCCCGCCCCGCCCCGCCCCGCCTCGCCCTACCCTCTGCGCATGGTCTCAGGGGAAACTGCACATTGGCTGCCCGAAGCCCAGAGCCCGCCCATCCAGCGCATGCTCCCTACGCAGCCCGCGAGTTCTCGCGGATTCAACTAGCGCGCGGGGCCCGCAGCCCCCTCCTCACGCCCCCTGCCCGGGAAGCGTGCGTCGCGCTTGTGTGTGCGTCATCACGCCACGCCACTGCTCCAGCCCAGGGAAGATGGCGGCAGCCGTTCTGAGTGGGCCCTCTGCGGGCTCCCCGGCTGGAGCTGCCGGCGGGGCGGGGGGCCTCTCGGCGGCGGGGTCGGGTCCGCGTCTGCGTCTGCTGTTGCTGGAGAGCGTTTCCGGGCTGCTGCAGCCGCGAACTGGGTCCTCGGTGGCTCCTGTACATCCCCCGGTGCACTGGGCCCCACACTTGCCTGGGCTTATGTGCCTGTTACGGCTGCATGGGACGGTGGGTGGGGCCCAGGTAAGTTGGTGGCTCTCGGTTCCTCCGCCCTGTGGGAAGCCTGGCGAGGCCGGGGTCACACACCCCGAAGCTGCAGGGCCTCTTACCATTCTGGACGAGATTTACGTATTTCCTTATTAGGCCCTGTTTCTCTGTTCAGTAGGTGGTGGGCACTCAGGAATGAAGTTCAATTCCAGGCCTAGTCACCCACTAGTTGAATGCTCTTCAGCCCCCTTTGGCGACACTTGTTTTCGGGGTCGTTTCCCTTGAGGTATTTGAACACATAAATATGTATGAACTCTTGACTGAGAGCCTCCTCCATTATTAGTCGCTTCAGTTACAGTCATGACGGCGATAAGCAAAATGCAGTAACAGAAATGAGTCCTAGTATGAGGCCCCTAATCCAGTATAGAGAATTAAAAGATTTTTCCAAAGAATCAGTTTAAGATAATATACCCAAAAGATGAGTAGGGGTTTGGGTAGGGAAAGAAAACGGAAGGCGCGATTATGATGCCATGGAAGGCCCCCTGGTAGGAGAGAACAGCAGAGAAGAGCATTGTACGACGAAGCTAGGGGTTCAGATATGGAAGTCGATAGAGTTGAGGCTGGTGAGGTTGGTTGAGGTTAGAAGTGGTAGGCTTGGTTAGAAGGATTCTGTGGACTAGGTTAACATCCATCCAGTTTTGCAAACTAGAAACTGGTGCTATCCTAAACATACACTTCCATAAATAGTCGAGTTTTGCCATTTTTTAATGGATTTTCATTCAAACGTTTATTGAATACTTGTTTTATGTTATTGTTCCTCTAAATAGTTAAGTAAAGCATAGTTCTGCCCTTCAGAAAATTTCTAGTCTAAATTAGAATGAAGGTAAGTAGGCTAGGCATTGTAAGGCAAGCTTTTAATCCCAGCCCTCTGGTGGCAGAGGCGAGAGGATCTCTGTGAGTTCAAAACCAGCCAGGTCTACATGTCAAGTTCCAGTCCAGCTGGGCTACAGGGAGACCCTGTCTCAAAAAAAGCAAGCAAAAAACCAAAAAAGAAAAGACGTTAAGTAAATAGGCCTGGATATAGAGAAGTCTGTAGTTTGATTTTTCCTTCTAGGTTTAGTCACCAATATGGTTTCCCGCAGGTACCATAAATTCAGCCAATCCAAAATGAGACCACCCTAGTACAATCACAATTTCTTGCTTGGATTATAGTAACAGTCTTCTGACTGGTCTCCTTGCTTCCAATCTTGGGGCCTTAACTCTAATTCCCTTCACAGTAAGTAGGCCGAGCTTTCTAGAACAAAATTCTAATCATGTTTGTTACCTTTAAAAACCTTTAAATACCTGGTCTTTTTTTGGAAAAGTTTATTTAGAGTATGTGCAGGTGCACATGGTACTCCTGTGCAGTGGTATTTGTGTGAAGGTTTAGGACAGTTTGCAGGACTTGGTTCTCACCTCCATCTACTATGTAGGTTTCAGGGATTGGACTCAGGTTGGCAGGCTTGGTGGCAAGTCAGAATCATTGCTCAGGCCTCACCTGGCTTGCTTTTTTTTCTCTTTTGAGAGAGGCTCACTATACAGCCCTGGCTGGTCTGGAACTCTCTATGTAGACTTGGTTGGCCTGGAACTAGCAGAGATCCACCTGTCTCTGTTGGGAGTAAAGGCATGCACCACCATGCCAGGCTTCACCTGGGCTTTTTGACTCACGCTTTTGTGCTTGCTCTTCTTTTGGAACCCCTCCCTGAGCTGCCTGTGGGATCTTTACTCTCATCTTAATTCTGTGCTTATTTGCCAGGGCATTTAGGAAAGCTTTCTTGACTACCTGTAACTAACTGTTCTTTATTACAGTGTGTTTCTCAACCCCCCCCCCCAACAAAACAAAACCAAACCCACACATACAGCTTCTCTCTGCCGTATTCATACGACTAGGTTTAGGGTGTGTGTGTGCATGTGTGTACATGTTTGTGGTTGTAGAAGCTAGAGGTGGACATTAGGTGCTTTCCTCAATCACTTTTCATGTATTCAGTCACTATTATTTTCATGTGTATGAGTGGTATGTGAGTGTGAGATGTGCATCATGTGTGTCCATGTGCATGTGGAGGCCTGAGGTTGATGTTAGGAATCTCCCTTGATACTCTTCTGCCTTATTCTTAGTCAGGTCTCTTAATCAAACCCAGAGCTTGTTGATAAGGCTAATCTCACTAGCCAGTTTGCTGGGGCAGGGGGATTCCCTACTTTTGCTTTTTGAGGCTAGAATAACAAGTGACATATGAGTTATTTGGATCCAAACTCCAGTCACCGTTCTTGTGCAGTGCTTCAACTGCTGAGCTATCCTCCCAGTCCTCCATCTTATTTTCTTTGTTCAGCTAGACTGGTTGCCCATCAAACTACAGGGGTCAGCTTGTCTCTACCCTTTCAGCTCTGGGGCGGACGGGCACTCTTACACTTGGGTTTTACATGGGTGCTTGGGACCATGGCAAGCACTTTATCAACTGAGCCCTGAGCCATCTCTTGAAAAAAAAAAAATACAGGAAAACTTCAGACATAATACTAATATATCGAACTATCCCACTTTATGCTGTCCTATCATCAAAATTTAGCGATGAATATTGATATTTTTCCAGTCTTCTCTCTCTGTGTGTGTGTGTGTGTGTGTGTGTGTTGTGGCAGGGTCTCCCTGTAGTCCCAGCTGGCCTGGAACTCACTATGTACACCAGGCAGGTTGGATCTTAGAAAGATCTGTCTGCCTCTGAGTGCTGGGATCAAAAGCCTGCACTACCACACCCAACTTTCTAATACTTATTCACATGGGAAGTGCTTTACAGTAAAAAAATAAAAAATGTCATGCCATTAATACAGTGAAAAAGGAGGTGTTGAGGGTAAGTAAACAGTATGGGAGCACCCCTAGACTCCCCCCTGAGCTGTTGAAAACCTGCATCAGCAAACAACTACAGCCTCAGTCTGCTCTTGTGATGTTGGGTTCCCAGTGAAAAATACTGCTTGCTGTATTTAATTTTTTTAGGTGAGAAAAAATGTCAGAAACAGTTGCTGGATTAGGAAGTGGGCCGGTTGTATGTACATACATGTTGTGGGTGGGTACAGGTGTATATGAGCCACAGCGGATGTATCATGGTCTTAGGATGACCATCAGGTCCTTGAATTTCTACCTTGAGACAAGGTTGTTGTGTAAGCTAGGCTAGCTGACCCAAGAGCTTCACTTGATTGTCTTGTTTTGCTACTGTCTCCCAGTAGGGGGGTGCCAGGATTACAGCTGTTTATGCTACTATGCAGCTGACCTTTTATTATTATTATTATATTTTATGTGTATGTGTGTATTGCCTACATGTAGGTAAGTGCACCCGTGTCGTATGCAGCCAACTTTTACATGGGTTCTGGGTATCTTAACTCAGGTAGACAGGTTTGTGTGTCAAGTATCTTTAAACCCACTGAGTCATTTCCTCAGCCCCAGTTGGATGAATTGAAATACATTTCCAGCCATGTGCCTCATTAACATTCTTGTTTATTTTTTGAAATCTCTGATTTTACCAGTGACATGATTTCTTGTTAAGAATGTACACCATCCCTCAGTTAGCCCTTCATACGTGCTCATGCTACCCATGTTTTTGTTGACATTTTTTCTGCAGTGTTAAAGGTCATCTTTTTTTTTTTTTTTTTTTTTTTTTTTTTTTTTTTTGTCTTTTTGAGACAGGGTCTCTTGTAGCCCCAACTGACCTGGAACTCATTGAGATTGCCTGCCTCTATCTCCTGAGTGGTGGGGTTAAAGGTGTGTGGCACCATACTCAGCTGTTTTGTTTTGTTTTTATTTTTATTTATTTTTTTGGTTTGGTCTTTTTGAGACAGGGTCTCCCTGTAGCCCCAGCTGGCCTGGACTTGTTGGTGAGATTCACCTGCCTCTGTCTTAGATTAAAGGCATGTGCTACCAGGCCCAGCTCAGTGTATGTGAGTGTTTTGCCTACTTATATGTACGTCCACTATCTGTGTGCCTGGTCCTGGCGGAAGCCAGAAGAGAGCATCTAATCCTCTGGAATTGGAGTTACAGGTGGTAATGAGCTGCCTTGTGGGTACTGGGAACTGAACCCTTGTCCTCTGTAAGAGCAGTAATGTTCTTACTTGTTGAGCCATCTCTCCAGCCCCAGGGATGTCCTTTTGGACTAAGAGAAGGTGGGACTTAAGAAAGCCTTCTTAGGTGCAGAGACATGGAGGGGCTTAGAGAATTTCTTCTGCATCTTTAATGACCTTTGCCTGATTCACTCCCATTTCCCCCCACCTCTAGAACCTTTCAGCTCTTGGGGCATTGGTGAATCTCAGTAATGCACATCTTGGTTCCATCAAAACCCGGTAAGTCTTTAACCCTCTTTTTACCAGGGTGATAGACCTTTAGGAAATGAATTTTATGTATATTTTCTCATCTATTTTCCCCAGCTCATGGATTAAAGAGAGTTCTCCATTCCAGGAGTATGGAGAGTTTCATTCTTTTGTGAGCTTACTTGTATTGAATCTACCATTTCCAGCTCTCAAGTTTCTTATTCCCCACCTGAGATTTTTTACTCCCATCTTTCCTTGATGCTCCCTCCTCACTCTGAGTCCTCCAAACATTTCAGGAGGTAGAAAGTACAATAATTCTGGGGGTACAGTCTTGCTATAGCCCAGTGAGGATAAAAGAACAATCTGGATTTCTCTGAAGTCTAGCTTCCACCTACTCACCCCTCTCTTCTAAGATTTGAAGGCCTGTGCCTGCTGTCCCTCCTGGTCGGAGAGAGTCCCACAGAGTTGTTCCAGCAGCACTGCATTTCTTGGCTTCGGAGCATTCAACAGGTGTTGCAGGTAAGGATTCACTCTATCTAAAACCTCACTCTCCCATCCCAATATGGGTCATGTATATTCTTTCTGGCTCTGGGGAACAGAATAATTGAAAAGAATTTTCCTGCTTTGGGGGTAGAGCACATTAAACTTCAAATAGAGCTCTTTTTAAACTTGTTATTTTTTCTGTTAGCTTATTTTTACTTCATCTGACCTTTCATATGTAACTTCTGACAGCTTCTCTTTTATGGTAGGAGTGACACCTCTTAAAGTTCCTTTTTATGGGTATTTTTGTGTATATGTGTTTTGGTCTATTTCTTTGTTACTCTTTTAATCTCCCTGACATCCTTTGATGTCATTTGCACTTAGTTATTCTGCAAATATTTTCTGAGCACATTACAGGCCATGCGCTAAACTTAGGGTAAGTGGTAAAATATACTTTGACTCTACTTTCATGGCTCTTGGAGTTTAATGTAGGGACTGGGTCATTTTCTTTATGAAGTATGTGTTTGCAGGTAGAGTTTTAGGCTTGTGAACCATGTGGTTTCTGTTGTATATTTTTTTCCATCCCTTTAGAAATGTAAAAGTTGGGCTGAGCGTGGTGGTGCGTGCCTTTAGTCCCAGCACTGGGGAGGCAGAGGCAGGCGGATCGCCTGTGAGTTCAAGGCCAGCCTGGTCTACGTAGTGAGTTCAGGTCAGCTGGGACCGCAGGGAGAGCCTGTCTCAAAACAACAACAACAACAAAAAAGTGTAAATGTCATTCTTAGCTTATAAACCATTCAGCCAGGACCCACATGCTTTAGTTTGCAGACTCCTGTTGTAATGGAAGTCACTTTAACTGAGTAATGGTATAAATGACTGTGGAATGACACCTATGGAGGTCAAGAGAATCTGACCCCACCTGGGGTGGTATGGGTGGTAGAGATTAAGGCTAGACGTTTAGAGAATGTTTTTTTTTATTTGATCAGTAGTAGTTAATTGGGCTGCAAAATGGTCTGAGAATCTAAAAACCTGAATAGAAGAGGAGGTTTGTCATTTGAAGAGGTGTAAATGTACTGGTGTGGTGGGGTTGAAGAGATGCAGTGGGGAGATGAGTATATGGGAACCAAGCCAAGGATGGCCTTATCAGCTGTGTTCAGGATTTCAGGTTTTATTCTCTGAGCAGTGGGAATTTGTCAGATTCTAAGTAGGTTTTGTGCTGCTAGATCAGAATGCCACAGACTGAGTAATTTATAAAGAATAGAGATTTATCTGGATCATAGGTCTGGAAGCTGGGAAGTACAAGCTCAAGGGGAAGCATCTCTTGAGGACCTTTTTTGCTACATTCTAACATAGTGGAAGGCATCACATAGTACATAGGGGTGGAGAATGAGAATGAGTCAGTGTGTGCCAAGCTTGCCTTTATAACAAACCTACCCCTGTGATAACAGAGCGCTCATGACTGAATTATCTAAAGATGCTGCCTCTCAACACTCTTGTGTTGGGAATTAAGAATCCAGCAGATGAGGTTTGGGGGAACATTCAAACCATAGCAATGATGGTGAAATGGTGGTGACAACCTGGCCACATTGGAAAATGTCACTCTGGCTGCTGATTAGAGGAAGGATCAGTAAGGAGAGGAGTGGAAGCAGAAAGACCAGGTAGAAGGCTTCATAAGTACTGTAGGAGAACATAGTAGTGTCCTGAATGACAGTGGTAGCAGTAGAACTGAACTAGTAATTCTACTAGTAGAACTAGTAAGTGGGTTTGAGAGAGAGAGAGAGAGAGCGAGAGAGAGAGAGAGAGAGCGCGAGCGCACAGTCCTGATGATTAGGAAGACTGTGTGACCAGGATGACTTTTGACCTTCAGAACATTGGAGGGCAGGCTCAGAAGGAACAGGAGAAAGCACTGTGTGATGTTGGCTGTTCAGTAGCAGTCCTTTCAGTAAGTATCCCCTTCATGTGACCATGAAATGGAAGTCACCACATATCTCTCTAGCTTCCAGGGTCCTATCGGTGGGGGCTTCTCTGTTGTTAGGTTTTACAAAGAAAGGGTTTTTAGCATTTAGCTAGCAGTTGAAGCTGACAGTGAGTATGAAAGTACCAAGATATGTCCTTGTAAGAACTGAGTTTAAAGGTGCATACCATGCTTACTGGTCAGTAGAGGAGGTGTTGACTAAGGGGACTGAGAGTGACACAGCAGAGAGGTGATAACCAGGATTGTGGGTTGGATGGACTCCAAGAGAGGAGAGAGGAGTAAGTAGGATTGTGAGTTGGATGGATTCTAAAGGAGGAGTATGCGAGGAAAGAGGGAGAAGTCACTTCTGTTTATCTAACTGTGCCTTTGAGGCAGACCAAGATAGACCTAAAGTCGTTAATTCTATCAGTATCTAAGGGTTGTAATACTAGTGAAAGTGGTTTTTGCACAACTGTGGACACTGAAGCCAGACTGGATTGGGATGAGAAGCAGTTGGGACAAGGGGATAGAACCAGGGAAGACAGAAGATCTCAAGATTTTGACTGTAATGACAGTAGCAAAATTGGACAGTTTTGGGGATTTGGGGGTAGATTACGGTATTGGCTCAAGGAAAGGATTTCTAAGATGGGAGCAATTTGAGCATGTGTAAATGTCGGTGAGAAGGAGGGCAGGGGTAGATGGTATTAAGCCCAGTGGAGGGATTATGTATTGCCAGGAGGAGGGTATTTGATCTAAGGCAGAAGAAGGAAGGTGAAGGAGGTAAATGAGAATGATTAGGATTTCAGGTTTAGGTGTGGGAAGCTAAGGTAGCTCCCATGTTTGGGTTTTTGTTTCCTCTGTCAAATGATTGCAAGGTCATAGAGATAATGGAAGTGGTAAGGGAAGTTGGGATTTGGAAGTTCAAAAAGGTATAAGTAATGGAGAAAGTCAGCCAGAGAGAATGTAGTAGGGTTGTTGGACAGTGTTGAAAGCCTGTTTATAAGTAGGCCCAGTTTTTTTTCTTTTTCTTTGCTTTGTTATTTTTATTTTATGTGTATGAGTGTAGTATTGCTTGCATGTAGGTAGATGCACCTGTGTCGTGCAATGCCTGTGAAGGTCGTAAGAGGGTGTTGGATCCCCCTGGAACTGGAGTTAACAATTGTTAGCTGCCATGTGGGTGCTGGAAGTGGAACCCGGGTCCTCTGCAAGAGCAGTCAGTGCTCTTAAATGCTGAGCCATCTCTCCAGCCCCAACCAGTTACTCTTTTTAAAATTAAGGGGCTGGCAAGATGGCTCAGTAGGTAAAGGTGCTTACTGCTCAGCCTGATGACCTGTGTTCAGTCGCAGGAACCACATGGTGGAAAGAGAAAACCAACTTCTGAAAGTTGTCTTCTGACCTCCATGTGCACTCTTACCACCCCCAAATGAATGTAGAAAAAATTTAAGAAAAAAATTATTTCTGAGATAGCTTCTCATTATGTTGCCCAGGCTGGCCCCAACTAGTCTCAAGCCAGCTTCCTGCCTTTGCTCAGTAACTAGGGCTCTAGGCATACCAATGTGCCTGACTGTATTTTTTTTAGTAAGTATTCTCATTTGTTTTGTTGACACGAGTCTCTCTAGTTTAGGAAGAGATAGATATGCCAAAGCCTTTTTCATTAGGTTCCTGTTAATTTCCAGAAGAGTCCTAAAACCAAATAGTTTTTTTCTCATGAGTTCTAAGGTGGGTGTGAATCAAACTTGGAGTGATTGGGCAGTTTTGTAGTGACTAAGATTTATTTTTCAGTCTGAAAAGTTCTCCATTGCCAGCAGAGAAATATAGTGCGAGAATCACAAAGCTCAAGTGATCTTCAGAGTCAGATCTTTGGTTTTTTTTTTTTTTCAATCTTTTTTAGACAGTGTCTTGCTGTATAGCCCTGGCCGGCCTGGAATTCACTAAATAGACCAGGCTGGCCTGGAACTCAGAGATCTGTTTGCCTCTGCCTCCGAGTGCTGGAATTAAAGGTGAGCACTACTATTACTATGCATAGTCAGATCTTTTAAGGTGTGTCTTTATTACTTTTTTTCTCTAAACAAATTCCTGGAACCAGATAGGAATTTTTTTTTTTTTTTTTTTTTTTTGGTCTTTTTGAGACAGGGTGCTGGGATTAAAGGTGTGTAACACCACACCTGGCCATGTTATTATATTTTTAAGATTTATTTTTATTTACGTGTATGTCTTAAGTATAGGCTGTCTGTGTGTATGGGGGGAGGGCAGAGGAGAGCATTGAATTCCCTGGAACTGGAGTTACAGGCAGTTGTGAGCCGCAATGTGGGTGTTGGGAACCAAACTCAGGGAACCAAACAAGTGCTCTTAACTGCTGAGCCATCTCTCCAGCCCTGTAATTTATTTATCTATTTTTTTTTTGCTCTTTGAGACAGGGTTTCCCTGTAGCCCTAGCTGGCCTGGAACTCATTATGTAGACCAGGCTTGCCTCTAACTCACAGAGATCTGTGTGCTCTTGTCTCCCAAGTGCTGGGATTATAGGTTTGACCCCCTATAATTTATTTTTATTTTAACTTTTTAGGTACTGGGGATGGAACCCAGTGCTTCATGTTTGCTAGGCAAATGCATATCTCCAGTCTCCCAGATACTAAATATTAAAATGTAAATGTATTCTTTCTCTAGACAAATAACATTCCTTTTGTATCTTCCTTATTTTTCCTGTAGATGGTGAATTTCTGGTAATAGAGGCATTAACTGTGTAACCCTGCTGTGTTGTTTTTTGGGTTTTTTTGAGACAGGGTCTCCCTAGCACTCACTATGTAGACCAGGCTGGTCCTGACCTCACAGAAATCTGCCTGCCTCTGCCTCCCGAGTGCTGGGATTAAATGTGTACGCTACCATGTCTTTCTAACTAGTATTTTCTTTCTTTCTTTTTTTTTTTTTTATTACTCCAAAGATAGGCAATTTTTAACACATTTTTCCAGAAGTAACTTGAAGTAGGTTACATAAAAATATATATACAATGAAGTTTAAGGGGGAAAAATAGGAATAAGAAATCAAAGATCAAAGGATTCAAAGGATTTGCCAACATGGGGTCAACTTTGGTGGAATAATGGTTTCCATTAGCTCTGTTCTTTTTTTTTGAACTGTTATTTTCTTAAAAGGGCTGTGTTGTTGTACCTCTGTCCCTCTTTTGGTGACAGTAAAGGTGAGGTTGGTAGCATGAGTGTTGTTTTTAGTCCCAGGACCCACCACCCACCATGGAGTTGGCTGTGGCTATCCTGAAGGACCTGCTCCGATACGCATCCCAGCTTCCTACACTGTTCCGGGACATCTCCACCAATCACCTCCCTGGGCTTCTTACTTCTTTACTGGGCCTCAGACCAGAGGTAAGATTTCCTAAGTCCTCTGTTCCTTGATCACGTCCAGTCCTTGTTCTCATTTGTCCTGTTTGGATTAAAGAACAGTCTGTACGCTGATTGAGAAATAGGATTTAGGAAGTGGGAAGAACTGGGCATGGTGGTGCATACCTTTGGTCCCAGCACTTGGGAGGCAGAGACAGGCAAATCTCTGTGAGTTTGAGGCCAGCCTGGTCTACATAGAGAGTTCCAGGCTAGCCCGAGCTATATAGTGAGACCCTGTCTCAAAAAAACAAAAGCAAAATAGCACAAAACAAAAGTAGAAGATTGTGAGGACAAGAAAAAACGATTGGGTAGAGAAGGAAACTTATGGGTGGTGGGATGAGATGGAAGTACGGGGCCACTGGGCTCTTAGCCTCTGCCTTTTTCCTGTTTTTCCCACAGTGTGAACAGTCAGCATTAGAGGGGATGAAGGCTTGTGTGACCTACTTTCCTCGGGCTTGTGGTTCTCTGAAAGTAAGTGTTTATGATGCTGTGATGGCTGTCTGCCTTAGGGTTTCTTTTTTAATTTAGAACATTTTATTTTTATGTGTATGAGCGTTTTGCCTCTCTATGTATAAGTGCACTTGTACACTGCCTGCAGAGGCCAGAAGAGGGTGTTGGATCCCTGGAACTGGGGTTAAGGACAGTTGTTAGCTGCTGTTTGGGTACTTGAAACTGCACCCTGGTCCTCTGGAAAAGGAGCTCTGACACTACTACCTCACAGTAAAGAAATCAGAATGCAATCACCTGGCCTAAGATCAGGGATTAGAACCTGTGTCTGTCTTGATACCAAGGCCCATTCTCTAACCCGTAAACTCCTTTCTCTTTTTTCTTTTCCTTTCCCTCCCTCTTCCCTCTTTTTTCTTTTTTTTTTTTGAATGACTACCTTACCTCTGAGGTATACCCCAAGCCTTCCCAACCTCCTTTCTCTGCCCTGCCTTCTTTGACTCTAGAATGCTCTGCCTATTTCTTCTACTACCCTATCCTTGTTCCTGAAGTTTTTATGATTTCTTTCAGGAAGCCCTCCTAACACTTCCCTAGGACAAGTTCCTCCTAAACCTCTGAATTGCTCCCCATTATGTCTGTGCAAAGTAACTAATTGACTGTATGGCAACTTTTTTTGTTCTCAGTCTTTTTTGAGACAGGGTCTCCCAGTAGGCCCAGCCTGCCTGGAACTCACTATGTAGACTGGGCTGGCCTTGAACTCATAGAGATCTGCCTGCTTCTGCCTCCCAATGCTGGGATCAAAGGTGTGCACCACCATACCTGGCCTGTATGGCAACTTTATACATAGGCAGATACACTAGAGGTACTCATAGGTAAGGGGTGAGTAAGGGAGGAGGCCACTGAAAGAAATAGTTACAGTTTTATTCTCAAGCAGGTAGTAGCAAGAATGGCTTACCAATTCACCCCAAACAGTAACAGTTACAGGGCCATTCGTAGTTGGCATTTGTTGTTTGCTGTGTCATTGGTATTCTAGAGAGTCAGTGAGGGTAGGAAAGCAGTCACAAGTTCCAGTGGTCACTATGGTATATCTGCACTGTCTGCTGGTGTGAGGTCAGCAGGATATTGGGTCAGGCCAGCTAGATCTAGGGAACTGATCACCAGCAGGAAGTTAGGTAAAAGCACATATTTGGATTGCCCACATTGAGGACCTGGAGGAAGTGGAGAACTAGAAACTTGTCAGGGTCGCTTAAGCCCTGCTTCTGGTATGAGAAAGTCCCAACTTACATTCACAGTGGCTACATAGAGTTATAATTCACTAGATCTAGAGATTTAGACTAGAAACTAGGTCTTTTAACTCCTATAATTTCAAATTATGATTAATGTAGCTGGTAAGCTAGGATGTATTACACTTATAATGTGAAATGGGAACAAAATGAACTCTATTGCTCACTGTCACAGGGACTGCTCTTAGGCATATTTGTACTTACAACTTAGAGATCCACCACATTTCATTATAGGCTACTGAAAATACTTACGGGCTTTTCCTACCATTACTGTGTGTTCACAAGCCCCTTCTACCCTATCCCTAATAAACTGGACCTCAGATTAAACACTCCTACTCCAGACCTTCTTATAGTATGAGAGAAAAGGTTGCCGACTGAAAGGTGACTGCTCTGTGATTTGCTGCCTTTGCTCTGCTCCACCAGCCTGCTCTTCTCTCCTGATTGGTTCTGCCCGCATACCTATGGATAGTACCCTAATTCTAGCTTAGGCCTCATTTCTCTATCCCTACTGTTAGAGTTGAACTGTGAGGATTGCTATTTTTCAGAGCTTTGTCTTGAGGGAGATAGATAACTGTCATTTGCAAAAATAGCAGGAGGGAGCCCAGTTTTTTGTGTGTCAGGGGCCAGACAGGCCCTTTCTCATACAGGAGGCCAAGAACCAGAGGTGACATGTAGGATGCCTTTGTACCTCAAAAATGTGTTTGGTAACAGCCATCACTGGCTCATGAAGGCATCATGCTTCCTTTGTCTGTAGGAAAGCAAAAAAAAACTTGGGTAGAACAGTCTGCTGCTGAGAATCTGACCAGCGCTTCCTTTCTTTCCCCCTTTCAGGGCAAGCTGGCCTCGTTTTTCCTATCTCGGGTGGATGCCTTGAGCCCTCAGCTTCAGCAGGTAAAGGAAAGGAAAAAATGTGTAGAATTTGGGGATCTGAGCCTAGAGCAGTCTTAGTTTTTCTTTATTACAGCTTTTGGATGTTGTTCTTGCTTCCTTGTTAACACACACAATTACTGGATTCTGTCCTCTTGGAGACTTAAGCCTTACTGTTCCTTGTTCCCTTGTTGATCTGTTTGTCTTGGGCATTAGTGGGGTGGGAGACATGGCTGGGCTAGTTTCTTTCTGACCAGCTTTCTGCCCTTCCTTCTGCAGTTGGCCTGTGAGTGTTACTCCAGGTTACCCTCTTTAGGTGCTGGCTTTTCCCAGGGCCTGAAGCACACGGAGAACTGGGAACAGGAGCTGCACAGCCTGTTGGCCTCACTGCACAGCTTGCTGGGGGCCCTGTATGAAGGAGCAGAAATGGGTAGGGACCAGGGCTGGTGTAGTCAGGACAGGGGTTGGGGAGCTTGGCAGAAGGGAATAGGAGGGTGGTCCAGAGAAGCAGGACAGTGGGTTTCTGGGCAGCATGGATGAGAACATAAGCGGGTCATCTACCATAAATGAAGAAGGAGGGATGGGAGAAAGACAGTATATAAGGAAGTTTGTGTTGCTGCCCAGCTCCTGTGCAGAGCGAATGCCCTGGAGTGGAGACTCTGCTTGCCCATTCAGAAGATGGTAACACTCATGTCCTCCTCCGACTTCAGCAGAGGTTTTCAGGACTGGCCCACTGCCTGGGGCTCATGCTCAGGTGTGTGGGCATTAGAGGGAATGGGGTGTGGGGCAGGAGAAGTTGAAGTGGGTGGGTGAGTCCTGCTGGGGAGGCTGCTGTGAGGTTCTTGCTTTGATTGATCTTTTTAGCTCGGAGCTCGGAGCACCTGTGTCCATGCCTGTGCAGGAAATCCTGGATCTCATCTGCCGGATCCTCAGCATCAGTGGCAAGAATATTGTGAGTGGGCTTTGTCCTTCACATGCAGCACTTGCTCAGGACCCTAAGTACCTGGGAAAGCCCCCAGACTGTCATCCCTAAAGCTGTGTACCCCTGACAGAATGTGCCATGGTCAGTGGACTTGATTATATAGAGCAGGCCACTTGTGGCCAGTGCAGAGGGTGAGTTTGAGGATCAGCCAAGGCACTGTTGAAGTGCTCAGTCATGTTCTCCTCCGTGCCGGATGGGAGAGGGGGTTTGAGTTGAGCTAGGGCCAGGAAGTTGGTTCCTTAACTAGGTGTATATATGTGTATATGGTTCGACATACCTACTCTGATTCTCCCTTTGTTTCCCTGTTTATTAATTTTGCCACATTTTTCTCTAGAGTTTGCTTGGAGATGGTCCTCTGAGGTTGCTGCTGCTGCCCTCTATCCACCTTGAAGCCTTGGACCTTCTCTCTGCACTCATCCTTGTGTAAGTGGGATTGGTCAGGGTGTGGAGAAAGGAGTGGATGTGCTGGAAATGAGGGCCACTGTTCCATCTCTGCCTCTAGGTGTGGAGGCCGGCTCATGCGTTTTGGGACCCTGATCAGCCGCCTGCTTCCCCAGGTCCTCAATACCTGGAGCACTGGGAGGGACACTTTTTCTCCAGGCCAAGAGAGACCTTACAGGTGACTGTCCAGGAAGGGGATGGGTGGAGAGTGTGGATGAGGACATGCAGGTGGCTCAGGGACTATGGCATGTTAACTGCTCACACCCTGCCTTCTTCATGTTCTAGCTCCATTCGAACCAAGGTGTATGCTATCTTAGAGCTGTGGGTGCAGGTTTGTGGGGCCTCAGCAGGTATGCTTCAGGGAGGAGCCTCTGGAGAGGCCTTGCTCACCCACCTGCTCAGTGACATCTCCCCACCAGCTGATGCCCTTAAGGTGAGTGAGTCCTGTCCCTGGGCTCCAGTGCTGGTTGTCCAACTGTGCCTGTCTCCTGACTCTGTTCTTCCTTTCTGTTTGCCTGTGTTTCCTTCTACCACCAGCTGCGCAGCCCCCAGGGAAGCTCTGATGGAGGTTTACAAAGTGGGAAGCCCAGTGCCCCCAAGAAGCTAAAGCTGGATGTGGGGGAAGCAATGGCCCCATCCAGCCATCGGAAAGGAGATAGCAACGCCAACAGCGATGTGTGTGCTGCTGCATTGAGAGGTAGATGATGGCTTGAAGTGATTAGGCCAAAATCAGTTGGTAATGTGGAGCTTGTTCATAAAGTGCTGAGAGACTTGGTGAAGAAGCAGAGACAGCCATATAGCCATGAACAGTCTTGGGTCCTGCTATTAGATTTGGGGTCTGCTAGTTTCCCCTTATCTTCCAAGGTCTTAGTTGTCTCCTTTGCTCAAGCACTTGGCATATGCATTATGCATGGCAGGGACAGTACTAGCACTCGGGGAAATCCTGCCTGTGGAGTTCATGCTCCCTGCAAAGCAGGGTGCTGGCAGGGTTTCCCTTCTGGTGCATCTGAGAATATGAGCAGAAATTAGGTGGATGCTGTGTAGTTAGTAGATGACTTTCCTTTGGGTCCCATGTATTCTTATTGCCTGTTACCTTCAAGATGAGGCCAGTTCTCCCCAAGTGTATACATGCAATTCATAATGTTTTACCTATGTTATCTCACCCTCACCTGTACTGGAGGAAGCAAACTGAGAAGGTAAATGCCTTATCCAGGGCATGCAGTGGCAGAACTGGATGCTCTTGATAGGCTTTGTGCTCTAAAAACCCTTGTCACAGCCTGCCTCTTATGTGCCATTCTGTTCCCAGGCCTCAGCCAGACCATCCTTATGTGTGGGCCTCTCATCAAGGAGGAGACTCACAGGGTTAGTGGAGACTGGTCCCCATGGAACCTGGGGAGGGGGTCATTGCTCTGTGTGCTTGGGAGAGTTTACCCCAGAGGTGGGTCCACTGAATCCTGGCAATGAGGCCCCACTTTGAAGGGTTGGGTGGTCTTGGTGAAGTTTCTAGGTTTACCGTGTTTTCTTTTCAGAGACTTCATGATCTGGTCCTGCCCCTGGTCATGGGACTCCAGCAGGGAGATGTTCTGGGCAGTTCTCCTTACAACAGTTCCTGCTGCCGCCGTGAGCTCTACCGCCTGCTGCTGGCTTTACTGCTGGCACCTTCCCCTCGCTGCCCACCTCCTCTTGCCTGTGCCCTACAAGCTTTTTCTCTTGGCCAGCGAGAAGGTAGCCTTGAGGTAACTGTTAACTGGGCCAAATCCTCCTTTGGTTCCTGGGTTCTCTTGTTCTGATGCCTGCCTCATGGGGTCCTGATGGTCACACTTGCCCTTTCTTCCTTCCTTAGGTCTCTTCTTTCTGCTCAGAAGCACTGGTGACCTGTGCTGCTCTCACACATCCTCGAGTTCCTCCCCTGCAGGCCATGGGCCCCACCTGTTCCACACCTGCCCCAGTTCCTCCTTCTGAGGCCCCATCTCCATTCAGGGCCCCACCCTTTCATCCTCCAGGCCCTATGCCCTCCATAGGTGCTATGCCCTCTCCAGGCCCTGTGCCCTCAGCAGGCCCAATGTCCTCAACAGGCCCCATGCCCTCAGTAGGCCCAATGTCCTCAGCAGGACCCATGACTTCAGCAGGACCCATGCCCTCTACAGGTCCTGTGCCCTCTCGCCCTGGACCTCCAGCAACCACCAACCACTTAGGCCTTTCTGTCCCAGGCCTGGTTTCTGTCCCACCCAGGCTCCTCCCTGGCCCTGAAAACCACCGTGCAGGCTCCAATGAGGACTCCGTCCTTGCTCCTAGTGGGACTCCTCCACCTAGTATACCCCCAGATGAAACTTTTGGGGGGCGAGTACCCAGGCCTGCCTTTGTTCATTATGATAAGGAGGAGGCATCTGATGTGGAGATCTCCTTGGAAAGTGACTCTGATGATAGTGTGGTGATCGTGCCTGAGGGGCTTCCACCTCTGCCACCTCCACCACCTTCAGGCTCTCCTCCACCCCCTGTGGCCCCCACTGGGCCACCAACAGCCTCCCCTCCTATGCCAGCCAAGGAGGAGTCTGAAGAACTTCCTGCAACTCCAGGGCCTCTACCCCCACCCCCACCGCCACCCCCACCTGCTTCTGGTCCTGTGGCACTTCCACCACCCCAGCTGGTCCCTGAAGGAACTGCTGGAGGGGGAGGACCCCCAGCCCTGGAAGAGGATTTGACAGTTATTAATATCAACAGCAGTGATGAAGAGGAGGAAGAAGAGGAGGAAGAGGAAGAGGAGGAAGATGAGGATGAAGAGGAAGAAGACTTCGAGGAAGATGAAGAAGAGGAGGAAGAATATTTTGAGGAGGAAGAAGAGGAAGAAGAATTTGAAGAGGAATTTGAGGAGGAAGAAGGTGAGTTAGAAGAGGAGGAGGAGGAGGAAGAAGAGGAAGAAGAATTGGAAGACGTGGAAGATATGGAATTTGGTTCAGCAGGAGGGGAGATAGAAGAAGGTGGACCTCCACCCCCAACTCTGCCTCCAGCTCTGCCCTCTGCAGACTCCCCCAAAATACAGCCTGAGCCAGATGCTGAACCTGAACCTGGGCTCTTGCTGGAAGTGGAGGAGCCAGGGACAGAGGAGGTACCTGGGCCTGAGACAGCCCCCACCCTGGCCCCTGAGGTGCTTCCCTCCCTATCTGTCACTGGCATGCATCTCCTGTTTACCATCAAATAAGTGAGAAATAAAGCTCTATTAATTGTTGCTAGTGCTGAAAAAAAAAAAAAAGGAAATCTGGAAGTGGAGGAGCCAAGGACAGAGGAGGTGCCTGGGCCTGAGACAGCCCCCACCCTGGCCCCTGAGGTTCTTTCCTCCCAGGAGGGGGTGGAGCAGGAAGGGGGAAGCCCCGTAGCAGGGCCACCTCTTCCAGAGACTGTAGAAGAAGAGTCCTCTGCTCCTCCTACCCTGCTGGAAGAGGGGACTGAGAGTGGTGGTGACAAGGTGCCACCCCCAGCAGAGACATCTGCAGAAGAAGAGATGGAGACAGAAGCAGAAGCCACAACTGTCAAGGAGAAGGTGAGAGTTAGCTAGGAGGGCATCTGCAGGGTGGGGAGGTGGGCCTGCTGAGGAAAGGAGTGCAGCTCTTGTAGTAGGGAAGAGTTGTCTTTGTGCGTAACTATTTTGAATTTTGTGTCTTTGTTCCTAAAAGGAGCAGGATGACACAGCTGCCATGCTGGCTGACTTCATCGATTGCCCTCCTGATGATGAGAAGCCACCACCTGCTACAGAGCCTGACTCTTAACCCTTTCTGCACCCCAACACTTTGTATCCAATAAAGTTATATCCATAGATATGTATGTTGCTCTGTCCTCTTGCCACATTGTTCCCAGCCAGGAACCTGGGTGAGTGCTGGAGTTTGCATCATCTCCAGCTGTCCCTCTATATCTACATAGCTGTCTTTATTGACCTGAGGAGGAATCACTGACTGAAAGGTATATCAGACTGACCTGTCATTCAGTAAGTTAGTGTTGGAATTTTAGCATTCTTGCCCTCTGTCCTTTTTTTCCCCCCCTCCTTTTCAACAGGGTTTTGCTATGTAGGCCCAGCTGGCCTTGAATTCAGTCTTGCCTCAGTTTCCCAAGTGCTGGGGCTATAAGCTGTGTGCCACTATGCCCATCCACCTCTGCTCTCTGATGTTATGTATATACAAGGCTGCCTGTGGGTAAGACTGAACAGTTAGAAGGTATGTCTTTGCTTTTGATTTTGTGATTCAGAGGTTGAAAATGTGAGGAAATTTAAGGGATTAAGTGGCTAAGTGAGTGGGCTTGTGTAAATGCACCCCCATAGGCTCTTGGCCTAGGAGAGCAAGATGAATGCGTACATTGGAAGTTTAGTTACTGAAGTCTGTGAAATTTGAACATTGAGCATCCCAAATAAAAGGATCCTCTGTAGGTGGTCTGGGGTTAAACTCTGCCCAGGGTCTTATCCTTCTAGTGACCTCATTCTGATCTCCAACAAACTAATTGGCAGGACTTCCTACCTGCTCTTGTAATCTGGATATTTCCTGTTCAGTATAAAATCCACTTAGGCACATTTTTCCCCCCTAGGCCTTGCTTGCAGGCATAAGCTTGGAACTGTGTCTGAGGTTTAAGAGTTTGGAGTAGGGAACCCTATGATGATTTTAATCACTTGAGTTTGTTGATGTGTGGACTAAGAATTTCAGAAGTGTGGAAAAGAGGATTATATTTCCCATCTGCATGTATGCCGAAAGACTTTTGTGTGGGGGGTTCTTTTTTGAGACGGATCTCCCTGTAGCCCCAGCTGGCCTGGAACTCACTATGTAGACCAGGCTAGCCTGGAACTCCCAGAGCTCTGCCTGCCTCTGCCTCCTGAGTGCTGGGATTAAAGGGTGTGCCACCATGCCCGACTTCGCTGAAAGACCTTTTTGAGGAGATAGCATTTGAACTAATTTTTAGAAACTTGAGTAGGTTTAAAATTTTCTTTCCCCAATGCTGGGTATGGTGGCACATGCCTTTAATCCCAGCACTTGGGAGGTAGAGTCAGGTGGATCTCTCTGAGTTCAAGGCCAGCCTGGTCTATATAGTGAATTCCAGGCTGGAGCTACAGGGAGACCCTGTCTCAGACCAAAAAAAAAATTTTTTTCTCCATTATTATTTTGAAAAATTTCAACTGCCCCTAGAACAATTGTAAGAATGATACATAACTTTTGCCTAGATTCATTAATTGCTAGTTTTAGCCGTGTTAGCGTCCTCTCACACCTCCGTGTATCTGTATATAGACAGGTATCTGCAGATAGGCCTATATATATTTATATAATATCTATGTGTTTGCATTTGTTGTTGGACCTGAAAGTAAGTTGTAGACATGTGGCCTTTCTCCCCCTAACTCTTCAGTGCTGCCTGATATTAAGGGCATAGTCATGAACTCAGGAGATGTAGCTCAGTTGGTAGTCCTTGCCTAGCAGGCATGAACCACTGGTTCAATCCCCAGCACTGTATAAACAAGGCATGGTGAGAGACACTTGTAATCTCAGCACTGATGGTGGAGGTATACAACTCAGAAGTTAGTCATGTTCGGCTGCATTGTTTGAGGTCAGCCTGGGCTACCTGAGATGTAACCCCCAAACCAAAACAACAAAACAACCCAAGCAAACCCCAAAATAAGACAAAGAACAGCAACTGAAAACCCCCAAAATTGCAAATAATCATCAAACCTAAGAAAAGTAATAGCAATTCAATAATTGCTGACTTACATAGTTTAGATTTAGAATTTTTGACCTGACAAGACTCTTGTTTTTTAGCTAACAGTGACTGCTTTATGGTAGTAAAGATTGCTTTTTTTTTTTTTTTTTACTTCTAGTACAGTATTCAGTAAATTGCATGAGATATTCAGCACTTTGTTATAAAATAGATTTTTTAAAAAAACATTTTTTTTATGTGTATGAGGGTATTATCTGCATGTAGGTAGGTGCACCTGTGTTTTGCAATGCTTACAGTGTCAGAAGAGGACGTCAGATCCCCTGCAACTGGAGTTAGAGGTGATTGTTAGCCACCATGTCAGTGCTGGGAATTGAACCCGGGTCCTCTGAAAGAGCAGTCTGTGCTCTTAACCATTGAGCCATCTCTCCAGCTCCCTAAAATTGATTTTGCCCAACTATTAAAGTGTTAGGTGAACATGTTTTTTAATTATTTTTATGTGTATGAGTATGTTGCCTATATGTAAGTGCACCCATGTCGTGCAGTGCTCATGGAGGTCAGAAGAGGGCATTGGATCCTCTGGAACTGGAGTTACAGATGGTTGTTAGCCGCCATGTGGGTACTGGGAACTGTGTCCTCTGCAAGAACAGTCAGTGTGTTTAACCACTGAGCCAACTCTCCATCCCCGTGAACATTTTTTAAGTACGCTAAGCTGTGTATGATGTTGGATAGGTTAGGTAAAGTGGATTATTTTCAAATTTATGATGGGTTTATTGGGATGTAATCCCATTGTAAGACATAGGAGGTCTGTATTGTATAAATTATGATAATTCATAATTTTTCTACCTTTTTTCCTCCCTTGTGGGTCAAGAGTTTTTAGATGAAGACAACTGAAGGGTCACCACTGCAAGACTCAATAGTGATTTTTTTTCAGAAAAACAACCTGATTTCTGAAAGCTGTACATAGGTAAAGTTGGTACTGACTGTGGGAAGAGGCTAGAACTTGGTTTTTCCAGTTTAAATTATATCCTCAACAGAGTATATTAATAAGTAATAATATATATTACCTATGTGTGTGTGTTTGTGTGTTTATGTAGGTAAACACTTCTAGAGATAAGATTTGTTGAAAACTCTGGTCTCTATCTGCTGGATCACTCTGGAGCAGTGAGTGTGGTCACTTACCTGTTCTAGAGATAATTGTATGCATTTGTGAGTAATTATGTTTAAAAGTGCTTTCATTGTTATAGGGATTTTCAGCAAATATGGGGTACCAGTTACATACCGGACACCATCTTCTGTTGATATATGTACTTTTGAAAATCATTACAGATCTTCAGGAGGTGATAAAGATTGTACAGATGAGTAGGGATGACAGTGCACTTAACTCAGTTTCCCCTGGTGGTTGCGTTTACTAAATTACAGCACTGTTAAAACCAGTCACTTATGTTGATGCAGTAATGGATAGTTTTCCAGGCTGGAGATAGAGCACCAAACAAGATGGACAGAAGTCCCTCTCCAGCCCTCACATTATTTCTTTTTTTTTTTTTTTTTTTTTTTTTTTGGAGCCGGGCCCCCCCGCCCCCCCCCGCTGGCTTGAACCCCCCTATGAAGCCCAGGCAGGCCTTAACCCCACAGAACCCCCCCTGCCTCTGCCTCCCAAGTGCTGGGACTACAGGTGTGCACCACCATGCCTGGCTCCTCACATTATTTCTATAAATGTAGTGAAAGGAAGTATAGTTTTGTGTGGGAGTGTTTTTTTTTTTTTCTCCCCAACATTGATGAAAAGTTTCAAGCAAGTTGAATTATAGAGCACATACTTATACCATGTTACTGCATTTGTGTATGTAGTTTTAAGTACAGTGGCCAGAGAAGCTCAGAAGGTGAGGTTGAATAAAGATTCAAAGGGGTTGCACCCCACTTGGAGTCTGGGAGAAGTTTTTTCTTGGCAAGGGATACGAAATAGGAACACTCTTGTTCTTTTGACGGAAGTAAGTTTAGAAAGAGTGGATGATGAGGCCAGGAGAAGAACAAAATGGGCATGGGAATGGGTTGAGGCCATGGTGTAGGGCCTATGGCTTCTGGAGTGATGTGGGAAGCAGATAACTTAACACACTGATTTATGTTTCAACAGGTCCATCTGATATTCTTGAAGAATAATTGAAAAGGAGTAGGGGTGGTAGCAAAGATTCCAGTTGGCTAATTTATTTAGGAGAGTTGATAACCGCTCTCCCACAAAGGGAGTAGAAATGTGGTTGGAATCTAGTTAACTTTTGAAGGGAGGTTGATAAATGGAAATTTTGGTTCATAATTTTCTCTTTCTCTTTGACAGCTGACTAGATTTTAATTTAAAAAAAAAAAGTCTGACCTGTTTAGATTATTTTGCTGCCACAAACAGCTGGGTATCTGCATACACATGGAATGGGTGCATATCATTTTTCACATATTTGTCCGATAAGTTCCTAGAAGTAAAGTTGCAGGTTGTGCCAAGTTTTGCTCCGACCCAGGAATATGAGTGTCCAAACCCTTGGCAAAATGTTGAAAAGTGGGCTCTTTATTAGTGTGTTGAATCAGTGTATTTTTAAAGCTTGTCTTGTTTTGTAGCTCTTTATAGATTAGAAAATTTGTTATTTTGGCTCTAAGAAGAGTTGTGTTTTTAAAGTTTGTTTCTGTCTTTTAATTGCTTATGTTTTCTTTTTGTCATGCTGAAATTTTTAAAAATATTTTTATTTTATGTGTATTAGTGTGTTGCCTGCATGTGTGTAAGTGCACCCGTGTCATGCAATTCCCTCACAGGTCTGGAGAGCCAAATCCCCTGGAACTGGAGTTATTGATGGTTGTTAGTCACCATGTGGGTGTTGGAACTCAAACCCAGATCCTCTGCAAGAGCAGCCAGTGCTCTTAACTGCTGAGCCATTACTCTAGCCCTGCCATGCCCTTTGAATACTAATACTTTTATGATTTTTAAAATTCTTTTTGTTTATTTGTTTTGAGACAGGGTCTCCCCATAGCCCCAGCTGGCCTACTCACTATGTAGATCAAGTTGACCTGAATTTCACAGAGATCGCCTGCCTCTGCCTCCAAAGTGTGGGAATTAAAAGGCAGGAGCTGCCACACACGCCTTCTGCTTCTTTT